CGCAGGGCCCGCGCTTGCAAGGCAGATGGTGGACCCACTGAGCTAAATCCCCAGCCCTTTTTTTTTTTCAGACAGGGCCTCACAGTATATTCCACTATGTAACCCAGGCTGGCCTCAAACAGCAATCCTGCCTCAGCCTCCTGAGTAGTAAATGCTGTAACTTTATAGGGAGTTCTGGCTTAGCAATAGGTCATGGATCTTCCTAGAGTGACCACCTTCCTTAATAACCACTTCATCAGGCACAGGTCCCAGATGTTGACATCTGCTGACCAGCACCTTGCTCTGGTGGTGGTACAGAGAGGTGGGGGTCGGCCCCAACGCACTGATGCCGTTGCTGCCAGTGGCTGCCCTCTTCGTATCACTCCACCAGCCAGCAGGCATCACTCTGCCAAGCGCTATGTTGGCAGCCTGGCGGGTAAAGAGGGAGTGGTGGCATTTGTTTAAAGCTGAGTGCTTGTGTTTACTGGGAGGCATTGGCATTCTCCCTTTTTCTCTTAAGGACTGTGCTTATTTAAATGCATTTTTTGTTTTCCTATAATAATCTGCTATTTATTGTGAACAAAAAACTTATATAGTAGAAATGTTTATCCTTCAGTCATTGCTTATCAGAAGATAAGCATTTTACTATGGAAAGTTTTAAGTGTACAGAAAAATTGGTAGGATTTTACAGAGGTCTCCCAAGCACTCACTACCTGGCTTCCACCTTTTACTACTCTAGCTATACCCATCTTTTAGGGGGAGTGTGTTTCAAAGTAAGTTGTCATCATTGGTAACCTTATTCCTAAACATTCCACATATACATCAGAGTGTCCACTTGTTACAAGTTTTTCATTAGAGATTAATATTTACACACAAACATACAGTTCGGTAGTAAGTGTACATTTGCTAAGTTTTAACCAAAGAAACAGCTGTCACGCAAGCATCTATCAAAGAGAATTATTGTGACTTCTGAGCACTCCCTGCTGTGCCTTCCCTGCTGTGCCTTCCCTGTTCTGAGTTTTTCTCCATCGTAGATTAGCTTTGCCTGTTTCTGAACTTTATATGCGTGGACTCATACAGGATGTGGTCCCTTGTGTCTGGCTTCTTTTGCTTGACATGATGTTTCTGAGATCCACATTAAATTATGAGTAATCAGTCCATTGTCTTAATGAGCACCTGAGCTTTCACCAGTTTGGGGCAGAAATGAATGAAGCGGCTGTGAATATTCTCATAGAAAGCCAAGAAGCCTTTCTTATGTCTGTTTTTGCTCTGCTGCAAGTCTTTTAATTGCTTGTGGTATTTATGCACACGTTATCATTTTAGAAGTCAGACTTTATCAATCTTACGTTTCTGTATTTGTATGTTGTTTAACTCAACCACTTGATGAAAAAGTGTTAAATATATTTTACCATATAACACTTTAGGGCTTTATTTTTTCCTTCATCTTAACCCTCTTCTAGGTTTTAATGATACAAAGTATGAATTTCTTCCAAACCCCACTGTCATCCTTTTCTTCCAACCTGAAATGACCCTTTGATAATACCAGATTCTCACACATGATTCTATTTCTCAGCTCTTTTTCTTTTTGTGTTATCTATATTACTTTAATTACTAATTCTGTGTTTTGATTTCTTGTCCTTATTTTTCAGAATTATCATGGCTAGTCTGTATTTTCTCTTTTGCATACATTTTAGAATTATTTTAAGCTTCTCCAAAAGGTCTTACTTGGAATTACAATGATTATATATTAATTTAGGGGAGAATTGCCACTTGTCCAATACGTTTTCCAACGTATAGTATTTTTACCCATCTATAAGATTTAGTGTGGTACACACAATTTTTCTTCCTGTAAAACCTGCTCAACAGCTGGGTGTGGTGGCTCATGCCTGAGATTTCAGCAGGAGAATCAGGAGTTTGATCTGAGTAATTCAGTAACTTAGCAAGAGCCTGTCTCAAAAAATAAAAATAGGAATTGAAATTAACATTTAAAACCTGCACCTTTCTTTTTAGCTCTTTTCCAGCGGGAGGGGATCTAGCACCTGGCATCAGGCCCTTCTTTCCACTACAATTTCCCTTTTTGTTCCTCCTCACAATATCCCTGTGCCTTCTCAACTCCCTGCCTGTGGGGCAGCAAAGGGCAGGCCCATGGCCTACTCAATGCTCTTCCCAGCACTTTGCATCTGGAGCAAACCAGGAAAGAAGGCGCATCTGGAGGGCAGCGTTCTTAAGGCCCCCGGCAGTACTTGGCTCAGGTGTGCCCAGCCACCAGCAGCAGCTTCCTGTTGGTCCGTGGGCCCTGTGCCCACCCCTCCAGCAAGTTCTGTTTGTGCTAATTTAGCCAAAGTTGGTTTCTATTGCTGGCAGCTGAAACGCTGACTCATTCCTACCTGTCAGAAGAAGAGAATAGAAAGGTTGCAAGAAGTTCTCTATAACAATATGAATTCAGAGGCTGGCAGGCTGATTGTTAAAATTCCCCACTGGGAAGACCAGGACACTGCTGTGAGGAGAAGGAAACTAACAAGGCAGGATGATGTTATCTAATCTCTGGGTAACTTCTATTACTAGTTGCCTTTTGCTGGAAATTCATCTTTCCTGGGGAAAGCCCCAAGTCCTTAGAATTTATTACCAAGGAGAATGTTGAAGGTGTTTCTGGGTATGTTCTCACTTTATTACATGTATTACTGAAAGGAACCCAGGAAAACAAGATCATAACTGCTCAGCCTCATCTCAAAGCAAATTTGGAAGAATCTAGCCCTGATCCTGATGGCCTAATGAGATCAAACTTGGGCCATTGCTCTAAAAATATACCATAGTGATACCATGTTCCTTCGTGGACGTTTCGGC